GACCATTTTAGAAATAATTAATATAGGTAAAATACTATAAATATTTCTATATAATAAAGAAATTTGGATGGCATTGTTTATTCACCCTTTTTATTTAATTTTATTCCTCCTTATATTAACACTAAATTTATACTAGGTTTTTACATTGGTGAAGCTAGAGCTATTATGCTTAGGCATACAACCCAATCTCTTGTTACTACTAATTTACCTCATTCTTTGATAATTTCCAGAATTGTTAATTGGATTGGGATTTTAATCCCAATCACTAAATTTCCACTTTTAGCTGCACTTATGTTGATGGCAAGGTGGAAGTATATCAAAAAACACATATCCTTTACAATTATTTTAATGTTAATTTTATATCTAAATCATTGATGATTTTAGCTTTAATATTTTGTAGGTTTATTACCATTCTCCTTATGCTATTTATTGCAGTTTTTGTGCCTTATTTTTTAAACATTCTGTACAATTATTCCAAATATATTTTATATAAAGATTTGCAAACAGACATTTAAGAACAAAGGGCCCAAACCCCCGCAGTCGTTCGATCCCGGGCCCGGGGCAGCCCTGATCGATCATAAAAGCTGCTAGTTTCCAGAGTGAATCTTATGGATGAATTCTGCTGCGCAGGTCATTATCTCAGTGCGACTGCGAAGTTGTGGGCGAGCACTCACAACGCCGAGGTGAAGAAGCGAATGGACGCCTTGGTCAATATACTCGCCGAGTGCCAGGCTGCCAGCAGAAAATCGGAACTTCCTGTCAACTTGTTTCAGTTTCTGAGTCTTGAGTTGTTTCAGATCATGGCTGGCCTAGATTGGAAAACGAGGTTGAAGAGGAGGACGAAGAACAACGAAGCGTTGCTGGGTCGCAGCGATTTTGGAAATCTCGCTGAAGGAAGCCAGATTCGGTGTGTGGCTTTAAAGTCTTGCCAAAGTCTTTCAATAGAAGGGGGCTACCAGATGCTAGAAACAGCTGAAAATAGCTTCTGTTTATGCACCCGAGCTGGACCTTTCATGCTGCAGAAGCTTTGCTGCCCGCTTCACAAGTTTGGTGGAGCTGGACTTTGGTCCAGATCTTTCTTTTAATGCGATTTGAAGATGATAGCCTGGAGCACAGTCATGCAAAGGTGAGAACGTCTATATTCTTGGGTAGAATGTGGTCCTTGACGGTATCAACTTTTGACTGTTCAGCGCTTTGGGTTAAGGTATCATTCTGAGCTTGCTAGAGAGTCCTATTGACACACCTATCAGGATTCGAGGCTTTTAACTTCAGTTCTTTCTGTGATACCGGAGTGCTTGAGAACTAAGGTGAGTGTTCTGTTTTAATGACACCAAATAACCTGAAGCTATGGCTCGTCATGCGACTCTATGGTGCTACCAAGCTGCGAGAACACGTAAGGCACCACCAGCTCAGGCTAGCAAGGCATTTCGAGAAGCTACTCGAGTCTGGTCCACGCTTTAGGCTATCAAAAACTGGCAACACTGACAAAAACTTCTGCTATTCTGCAGCTCTGTGAGCGTCTGTTTTCGTCTGAATCCAATGCCTGGAGAACCTGATAATGGTCACTCGATCAATTCGGCATTGTTGTAGGCTCTAAACGCCAGATTCTTGCAGGAATTTATACACTTCGGATGGCTATTGGGACAAGCTCCACAGAAGCGGTCCATCAGGGAATATATGCGAATATACTTTTTGGCCACGTGTCAGAATGCGACTGGATTCCATCGCGCAGAGGGGATCACAAAGCAGCAACAGCAGCAGCAGGAGAAGAAGAAGAATTAATTGTTCCAAATGCTAAAATGACAAATGGTAACATGTAAGAGGTATTTATATCAACTTACAACTTGATACTTACAACGCTTCTACATTGTCGAAACAATCCTTTAGATGAATTTAATTAAGTTAATAAAGAGTGTCTAAGTTGAATCTGATCAGTTAATTTGTTAACACTTATCTAGACAAAAAATGTTTTTCAAGACAAATTTCTCTTTAACTTCTTTGCTAATGGGCGATTATGGTTAATACAAGTCTTTATGACAGATTTTGAGCTTTGATTAATTTGGCTATGTGTATTAAGTGTAAAATAGTTCAAATGGTTAAAGTGGTTTGTGATAATTGCTTCCAAATTTTTGACTTGTTCAAATTTCATAAGCTTTTGCAATATGCATAGAAAATTTAAACTTGGGATACTTTTGTAATTTGTCAGTTTTACCTTGTTTATTTAACAACCACTGCCTTGGCCTTAGTTAAGTTTTATTGCCAAGGTTCTGTCTATTGTACCAACTCCTACTTAGTGTAATGAAGAAGTAAATGTTTTATTTTGTATATCTTCCCAAATAAAGTAAAGAAGGAAATTTAGGCGAAATGGAGTTACACTTAAGCTTAGGCATTCAAAGAAGAAAGATTTGACTTAAGCAATGCTCATTATAGACAAATGTGAAGCAATTAGAAATGGTTATAAAATTATATACTTAACTATGCTAAAAAACAATTTGCATTGAATTAACCATGTTTCTCCCATTTATAATTGTTTATGCAAAATAGAGTTGAGATAGTGATATATACTTATCCTTACTCATGTCTTTAGGGTTTAATGATGAGTTCTCTTTTATTCTCCTTTTCTTTATTTTCTTTTTTTCTCCTTCTATGTTCTTGTTTTTGTTTATTTGTCACTATTTTGTAGGTAAAGGCAAGAATGCAAGTATAGATACAGAAAACTATCTTTCTTGTGTTATCTAAACATTATGCCACTGTAATCGCAAAAAAAACTCTTTTGTTCAGTGTTGTTTGGGTTTCAGGGCCTCTGCAATCATTTAAAAGATCTATTTATAATTCTTAGTGTTGAGCACATTTGAAATTTACAAATGATTTTCTCTTGGTTATTTTTCAAGCTAGAGTGCTAGCTTATCCCACTATGGCCACCAAAAGTGAATAAAATTTTTATCTGTCACCAAAGCTATAAAGATGGGATGAGTTTGAAATTGAAATACAGTATATATTGCCAAGAAATTCAAGTTTAAATTATTTTACAAGTAATTTTATGAGAAAAATCCAAAAGAAGAAAGAATGGAGTTTGTTTGATATGGAAAGCATAATTAACTACTCTAGAAGTCTTTTCTTCTAAGCAAGTTCTCACTTAAGTATTAGAGGACATATTTTTCATAAGTGTGTCATAATTGTTTTAGGCATATACAAGTAGGAAAATTAGTCGTCTGTAACTATTGTCTTTGACTCCAGTTTGAAAAGAACTAAAGCTAGCTTTAGTGAAGAAAAAATTAAAGAATTATTCATCTAAATCTTACAAGGCTTTGACAAAAGCAAAATTATAATTAAAACATTATGTTATCTCAAAACTTAGTCTACTTTCAAACCATGTCTAAGTAGTTATCCAAGCTAAAGGACTTTGGATTAAAAAATTTATGACTTACAACTAAGAATATGAAAAAGTGGTTCAAGCTGAAAAATAAAAAAATAGTTGGGAAAGATGAGAAGGTAAAGAAAAAGGATCTGATGGTAAATTAAAAGATTAATACTTACCCCACAAAATCTCTATTTCATCTCCAAATCTATCTTTATAATAATCAAACTCATCATTACAATATGAAATTCACTTAAGCTCATACACATCATCTTTTCATAAGCTCGATCTTCAAACATTTTCCAAAAACCAAATTGCATCATTTATATCTCGTTAATCAATGTTACGATTATAGTGTTATACCCATCCTTGGTGTGTTGTTGTCTCCAACTTTTGTGAGATATAATTACACAACTTATCATATTCTTAGTGTTTTACCATTTTTTATTGATATAGAGCAATATAATCACACCCTAGAACACTAAAAACTTAATTTAATAAAGCAGCATCAATAGCCTCAAATGACATACTCTTTCATTGGTAATAATGTGGTATGGCATAAGAAGGGAATGCAATGAAGAGTAAAAAGAAGAGCAAATCTAAACACAACAATAGCAAGAATTCTAGAATTTACAAAAAAATTAATACAAATCTAGATTTAAAAGAGAAATAAAGGAATAAAAAACAAAAATAAAATCCCAAACACTAGAGTAAAACATTGCAAAAAAGGTTTGCCCTCCAAGGATGGGGTTTAAACCCTTCCTTATATACAATTTATATGTTATAGTACTATAATTAATATATTACTTAACTAAAAGATCCTACAAAAGCTAAAGATGAGTTCCAAATGCTATTATCTCCACCATGTAAATCCTTATAAAGATGATTTCATATTTCATTAATTGAATGCAATGTTTAAATTTTTTTTTATTTTGCTATTTAAGGGATGTTTCAGAATATTCCTAATATATTATCTTTTTAAAATCTTAAAATGCTTAAGAAAGTATAATAGTTTATTGCAAATTGCATGCAATAACACTTAATTTGCTTTATAATTCTTGTTTATTATTATTGAATAATCTAATTGATTAATAATTATTAAAATGTTTGTAATATAAGATTCATCAACCACTAGATGGTAGAATGAACAAGAATATACTATGGAATTTATAAATTATAAATACAAAACTAACCTATATAAATAACAACTATTAGATAGTAAAATATCGTAGAATATCCATTTTGAAAATTATAATATAATCATAAGGTTTTAAAATTTTTGATTTTACCAATATAATTAAATGTAATTTAGCTTTGGATATTCTTAAACACTCTATAAACTAGGTGTTGATCGAGCCATGGGATTTTGAGCAACTCTATAGTGCAACACAAAGTGCTATATAGAGCTCTCTCTGCAAAAATACACAATCACATAATTCCAAGAAAATTATGAGACATAGGACATGGAACTAGGAATCAAGAACAAAATCTACAAGCTACACTGCCACCATGAGTTAATCTATCACCAAGTAGATGTGGTTCATGCTTGGGAACCTTAAAACCACCTCCAACATTGTGGAACTCTCATTTGAAGAAATTATATAACGCTATGACGATGATGGTCACATTATGTAACAGAACATCATGGGATGTCACAATGCAACACTATGCCAATCGATGTTGGAGTGATGGGTTGGTTCGATCGAGCAGGATTCTGAGGACATATGCGCATGAATCAACCGGATCATAAAGCTTGGAATTGGAGATGAGTTTATTCAGGTGTGGCTTCAAACATGGAGTCTGGTGGTTCGATGCAGGCATCTCCAATCTGGTGCGATTAGAAATGCAATTCGCTATCACCTCATTTTTCTACAACAGAGAGAGGTGATGACCGACTGACCGTAAAACTCGCTACAGACCCACTGCCGGTTTCGGAGAGATCACTCGCGACATACAAAGACAGTGCAGCTGCTAAGTACATCGAATTCCTTATGTGTTGCTCGTAGCATGCCTGGCTCTTGGTTGAATTCTGGGCAGTCAGACCCTTTGCATTACAGCTAATTTCTGAGGAGGCGTCATGATAATAGTTGTGGTGGTTTCGCCACACCACCTCCGGACAAGTGATACGCAACAAACTCCATCCTCAGGACCGTCATCACGTGAATCTTCACATCCCAATCGCGGGTAGCAGCACGGCTGCAACATGGCTAATCGTGGGTGAGGATTTTTCCCGTACAAACCACTATGAGCACCATGTTGATAGTTTTACTTCCAGTTTAGTCCTCCTTCCACATTTGAGTGCTTAAGGAGGAAGAGAAGGAAGATCTTGCTTGTTTGTGCAAGATCGACATCTTTTACTGTTACTACCAAAGGAAGCTAGCAAAAGTTCTATTTGTTGATGCACCATTTGTTTTCCAACCGGTCTGGGTGCTTGTCAAGCCTTTGCTCGCCTAGCAGCATTAGCTTCTCGATCCACAAAGAGCTAGTCGACCTCGCGTAGGATTTGCACTTTCGTACACCTCATAGAGACTACTTTACCCCGGACACAGTCCCTCTCAACTTCAGGAAATAGTAGTTCTTTCAATCATCTTAGGATTGAAGGGAGCACTAAATGGTGGCAAGTTGAATATATGAATGCTTATGCAAAGAAGTTTAGCTCGAACATATTGACTAGAAGAAATTTGGGAAAGATGATTCTTTTTCACATTAAGAACTTTTAAAAGTTCCGGACCATGGAAATATACAGTGAGGTGTACGTTCCTCTTTTACAATCCAAACCATGCCAAGAATCTATGCAACAAACGAGGACGCTTTGGCGGCTCGATAGTAGTGTCCACTGCCTTTCTTTTCTTGCTTCCTCGCTTCGGGGGCTCGATAGTGTCCACTTTCTTGCTTCGTGCCTTTGGCTGCTCGATTAAATTCTCGATGTAAGACCATGGCACCTTCAAGGAGATCCTAAGATAGAGAAACACAGTCAGAGACACGAAAAGTATTAATGCTTGCCTTCCCTCCATCCGCTGAGCCTTCTCCCTACGTCTTTCTTCCCTGACACCCACAGGGTGAGTTTCTACACTCGAAAAGATTTTACATTCTTACCCTCTTGTTTCGTCAAACCTGCGATACTCATCCATGCTCACTCGTCCAGCCGCGACTTGAAGCTGTGTAAGTGAGCCTTTTTCCAAGGGTGGATCACTACAAAAACCTGTCAAGAACAAAGAGAAGAAAGAGGACTGTAAAATACGTACTCCCAGTAGATGTGAAGCTTGATAAGACGGCTAGGTAAGATCTCCAGCCGCAGCAGCTCCTCGTAACGCATCAGCTTTTGCAGTTCCTCCTTGAATACAAGATTAACAACTGCTTTGGAGGAACAGCGGTTATGAACTCTTGCAGCACGGTAGTAATACGTCGCTAGATCGTCTGGGATGTCATAGTTTACCACCAGATTCCCTCTGAGATCATCAAACAGCCGCTCGTCCCTGAGGGAGACAAACGTAAGAGTCGCAAGAATTCGATTTTGTCTACCTGAGATCGCTGTTTGTGACCAGCGCTCGCGGTCTCCGACGAAACTTGTACTCGTCAGCGGCGAGAAAGGTGTCGAAAGGATTGTATTTCATGTCATTCGCTGGAGAGAGGAGGGCGCTGGAGACGAGCGCCACCGAATCAGCGGTGTTACAAAAGATGACATAACTGTGGAAGCGTTCGCGAATGCGGTCGCGGACGAACAGGATCTTGTCCTCGTGCGTGTCCATAACCACGAATGTGTGACCCACGAAGCCGAGAGTGAGGCGCTCATCGCGCTTCATTCCTAGCTCACCGTAAATCTCCAGCCTTGAATCCGCGGCGGTGCGTCGCTTGTCCATGGTCTCCGTTTCAAAACTTAGGGCATTTCTAGCTAGTCTAGTTTTTAAAACTTGTGGCTCTAGCCAGTCAGAAGCTGTGGGTGCATCTAGCCGAAAAGGCTCTACAAAATCTTCCTCCTGGTGGAATCAAATCCTTAGGATTTTTGACTTGCAAGGATTTTTTTACTTGACTTACGATTCAACGCAGCAAACACATCTCGACATCAGGAAATACTAGAATTGAAGGTTTAGAGCAATGAATCTCCTATGCAAAATTAAGAAGTTTAGCTCGAGCTATAAGAATTTAGGAAAGATCTCACTTTCTTTGCCTGAAGATCTTTTCCATGAACCAGAAGAAACTTTTAAAAGTTTCATCGATCACGGAAAAGATCACTTTATATACAGTCAGGATAACCAAACCATGCCAAGAGACTATGCAACAAACGAGAACGCTTTGGGGGCTCGATAGTAGTGTCCACTGCCTTTCTTTTCTTGCTTTCTTGCTTCGGGCGCTCGATAACATTCTTGCTTCGTGCTTTTGGCTGCTCGATTAGATCCTCAATGTGAAACCATGGCACCCTCAAGGAGACCCTGAGATAGAAAAACAGTCAGAGACACGAAAAATATTAATGCTTGCCTTCCCGCCGCTTCCGTCCGCTGAGCCTTCTCCCTGCGTCTTTCTTCCCTGAGACCAACAGGTTGAGTTTTTTACTTGAAAAGATTTTACATTCTTACCCTCTTGTTTCGTCAAACCTGCGATATTCATCCATGCTCACTCGTCCAGCCGCGACTTGGAGCTGTGTAAGTGAGCCTCTTCCTAATGGTGGATCACTACGCGATCGAGCAAAAGCTTGTCAAGAACAAAGAGAAGAAAGAGGTTTATACAAATACGTACTCCCAGTCGATGTGAACATTGATAAGACGGCTAGGCAAGATCTCCAGCCGCAGCAGCTCCTCGTGACGCATCAGCTTGTGCAACTCTTCTTTGAAAACAAGATTAACAACTGCTTTGGAGCGACAGTCGTGATGAACTCTTGCAGCACGGTAGTAATACGTCGCCAGATCGTCTGGAATGTCATAGTTTACCACCAGATTCCCGTCGAGATCATCAAACAGCCGCTCGTCCCTGAGAGAAACAAACGTAAGAGTCACAAAAATTCAATTTTGTCTACCTGAGATCGCTGTTTGTAACCAGCGCTCGCGGTCTCCGACGAAACTTGTACTCGTCACCGGCGAGAAAGGTGTCGAAAGGATTGTATTTCATGTCATTCGCTGGAGAGAGGAGGGCGCTGGAGACGAGCGCCACCGAATCAGCGGTGTTACAAAAGATGACATAACTGTGGAAGCGTTCGCGAATGCGGTCGCGGACGAACAGGATCTTGTCCTCGTGCGTGTCCATAACCACGAACGTGTGACCCACGAAGTCGAGAGTGAGGCGCTCATCGCGCTTCATTCCTAGCTCACCGTAAATCTCCAGTCTTGAATCGGCGGAGTTGCGTCGCTTGTCCATTGTCTCCCTCGGGGATTTAGGGTTGAAATCCCCCTTTCAAAACTTAGGGCATTTCTAGCCGTCGGATGGCAAATATCTAATGGCTAAAAGGGAGAAGCTGACTTACTAAACTTAACAGTAGGTCTGGTTCCTAACCTAGGCCGAAGCTTGTACCACATTCTATTTTTGTAGGTTTGGTAAGTCTGGCAATGAGTAGGGAGATCTTGAGTTCCCGAGGGTTGCTAAGCAACAGGGAGGTGTTGGATCTCATGGCTGCAGCAAAGATTACTCTCGTGCTTCGCGGCGCAGCAGCAGGAGCGATGCTAGTAAGACTGGTATGGAGTGGTATGCCTTTTAGATTTTGCCCCAAATCGATTATCCTTTCAGGTATCATCACAACTGTTGAAACACGACTCTCTCCGTCGAATCGTCTTCAAGGTACGACTTAGCCTTCATCAGCGATTCGCATGATGTTTGATGTTTCCAACCTTCGTTTTTCCTGCTCTGGAAGGGATCACAAGCTCGATCAATCGACAGCGAGGTACCTCATGCGCTATCCCGGAGTACGAACCTGAATATGTTGCGAGTAAGCTTTGCATTTGCTCATGCCTCAGTTGATGGATTTGTTTGTTATTGGCGATTCAGGAGCAACGAACACACGAAGCTCAACCTCGAGAAGCTCCAAGCTTTGGATGACAGCAACAGGTACTTCGATCAATCGGCAGTAACAGTGATCACAAAGTACCTCCAGTTCTTAAGGTCCTTCACTTTCTTTATCGGTCTTCAATGCTGTAGAAGTTTGCACTGATTTTTGTTTCCAGCAGGGGGTGATTCGAGAGGGAAAAAAGGAGCAGCGCAAGATCACGCCGAAGGTCAGTGATGCTGCTTGTCTTCAAGGCCTCGAATGTGGACATGAATTCGTATGAACAGGTAGCGCTGTTAACGAAATTCCTTTCCTCTGTTTTATGCTAGTTTCACAGAATGGAGCTGGTTAATTACAGCTAAGCTGGATTACTCAATAAGCGAAATGGATGGTAAGTTGCTGATTAGCTAGAGGAGATTTGAGGGTTTTACAGCATGGTGCTTGGAATTGACAGGGACGGTGATGTATACGGAAGCCTATTGGAACAGGTATGAGCTTTGAGAGGGAATGTGCGTTGTTTTCTCATTTCTTTCTTTTTCTAGGCCGCGGCTGCTGCTCAGCATTCACAAGAATTTCGATCGAGAGGGCAACTCGAGGTTTCTCTCCTTTTTTTTTCCGTCCTAGCTCTGATTGTTCTTGTTTGTTCTTGTGGAGATGGATCATTTTACTTCGATCACGGCAAGCTCCATTCCAGAGGACGTAAGGACTGGAGGAATACATTCTTGTGGTTTTCTTCCCTTGATCGCAAGGGCGTGGGCAATATCGGAGAGATTTTTTTTTCTCTGGAGGATTGAAGGGTCAGATGTAGTATTTTTGAAAAAAAAAACTAACTACGTTTTTTTCTCTTGCAGGGATGGGAAACTGCTGCGGTATCCATGCCAACCTGGTGATGAATGGAGGGCTGTGGGAGCTAAAGAGCAGAATATAGTCTTGGCATCCTCCACGGAGGTAAGTTCGAGAGCTAGAATAGAATTGTTAGTGATTGGCAATGTTTTTTATTTCCAGGTGATTCTACTTTCACTTGAGCTTGTAAAAGTGTCATCAATACCCACAGGAAATGTTCTGGTTACCTGTATTGAAGCATCCAGGCAGGAGATTTTTCTGGGTGGTCTTGATGGTCATGTTTACAAGCTGACGGAAGCTTACTTCCAGAGACTTACTGGTGGATTCTTCTCCTTCGTCAGGTATTTCGTTTTTGAAAATTTCTTCTCCAAGTGTTTAAAAGAGCTCATTGCAGGCGAAGGACGCTGGTTTTGCAGCTATGTTATGACGAAGAGAGGCACCTGTTATACTCGCGGTCGGAGAAGAAGATTACAGCGATTGACCTTCATAGCTGCCGGGAAGTTGGCGAGGTGGTTGTCACAGATGCCATCTCCATCACTCCGCTCTCGCGTGTAGCAGCATCCTCGGATAAAGTTTTGGTGGCAGTTTTGTGCAACGGGAACCAAGTCTACGTGAGCAGCGATTTCAGGATTGTGGAGACGGTTGCTTGGCGATCAGATGGCTTTATATGCACAGGATATCCACAGATTATTGCGAAGGATGGTTACTACTCAGCTGGAGCGCTGTTCCTAGCGTCTACTTCTCGTCTCGTAGTACGGTATCAGGGGGCAAGCTTTCAGGTCGACGAGGAAGTGCTTGCTTTTGCGGACATCCTGCCTCCTGTAGATGAACTCCGTATGGCATCGGCGAGTTTTCTAAAGGACTTGGACTTAGGACAAGTTGCTGCGGCACGAGCTCTGTGGTCGCTTCCAGAAGTTCACACGCAACATCTTCTTTCAGCAAGGAGAGCAGTCCTACTTACTTCTCAGGCAGCAATCGTAATCGTCATAAAGAGGCCCGTGGATTTGCTTCAAGAGATTTTAGCGTCATCGAAGCCTGCGTTATGGAATGTTCGACAGTTCTTCGACTTCTTTGGCCGCATAGAAACGTCTTCAATGTATTTTATGCTTGCTGCTGGCTTTGAGCACCAAGAGTCGAGAAGAGCTTCTGAGCTGCTGCTGCTTTCAGATTCGTCTTTGCTTCGTGCGCGGCATGCTGCATGGCAGGGAGCACTACTACGAGTATCAAGGCTTGTGTTTTCCGTATGGCGCTTCAACACAGGATCCATCCCCGATGCCTTACTGGCTGCAATGCTCGAGCTGGAAAGCTTTATTACAACACTGGTTAGTTGATTGATTGTTTAGTTTACGTATTGAATTTTTGATTTCCAGGATTCTCTTGCTATTGATAAGACTTTCGTCACGCTGGTGAGAAAAGTTGTCATGGTTGGCAGATATTTAAGCGTCGCACGCCTCATAAAAGTCGACACCAACGAATCCTTTGCTACCTTCGTATGCCATGAAAGTGTTTTTTTTGCGGCAGCCGTAAAGTTCATGGAGGTAAGTCTGGTTTCAAAAGCTTCTGGAAAGCTATTGATTATTGTTTTCATTGTTTTCAGGAAAATGGCAATGATAGAGATGTGCAAGATCTTCGAATGTCGCTTAATCAACCGGCTTTTCTATTCTATCAAAAACTTAGAACCGCATTGGAAAGTGGAGTTGGAGAACAATCAGAAGAGAGAGCTACACTTGAGAATTTGATGGAACGTATGCTTTCAACGTGGGACTTTCCAATTGATGGAACGTAAGTATATAATTGATTTTAAGATTCTGAGATGATAAAATTTTCTTTACAGGAATGGCATTGATCTCGTGTCTCTATCCTCTGGCCAGTATGGAATGGTGTTCTATCAGACAACAACCGATAGAGTTCTTAAAGTGATCAAGAAGACTGTGAGCTGTTCCCAGGAACAAGCAGAGATGGAGGTCGAATTTCTCCAGGAATCGCGTAAGCTTTGTGAAGGCATTGACATATCAGTTCCACGATGCTTCGGATTACTTGAAGATGGTCCACTTAACATGGGAGGTCCGTGCATCCTACAGGAAAGAGTCACGATGGATGATAACTTGGAAGAACGTTTGAGAAGCTTATACTTTCCAGGAGAATGGGACGGCAGGCCAAAAGTGCCGTGGGATCTGCGGTTGAGATGGCTGGAGGAGCTGGATAGTAAAACGTTTTTTGAAAGACCGGAGCTTTTGGTGAAGAACAACCAGGTTTTTGGTCTCGAGCAGGAGCTGGACCTTTCTAAAGTCGTCACCGACGAAGCTCGCCTTCTTGCCAGGATGCACTTCAAGGGCGGCTTCAATGGAGCTGACATCGAATTCGTTGTGGGAGGCCACGCTCAGGTGTTTTGCATCGACATGGGGATGGTCCAGTACGTTGGAGGCCCTGGTGACAACGATGGTGACGACGAGGATTTCAATGCAGATGAGTTCCTTTCGAGTTTTGTGAGCAAATTCATCCCAGATACTGAGAGCTCTCTATGGCCGTTTTTCAGAGAAGGCTACATCTCAGAGGCAGCAGCACTCGGTTATGATCGATTCGGCAGAGCAGTCATAGATAGAGTTGAAGAATAGAAGGCTTGGGGAAGTAGTTTTGTTTCTAATGGAAGGAACGCTGCTGAGCATAGCAAACCAATCACAGTTCTTTACTCCGAATCCAAGAGATCCCAGAGATCCCAGCTGTTCCACTCTGGGGTGACGGGATAATGTTTGAGATTAACGTAGTCAACTATAAAGCATAAATTCAATCTAGATTCTAGGGTCAAAGCGCTTGGCTATGGAGGAGAATGGGTCGCCAGGCATGGCGGCTGCGGCCGGGGGCAGCGATGAAGACGATGCCTTTCGGAAGATACGCTGGGAGGCAAATGGGGGACCTGCCCGGGAGCTTCCTGAGCTATGTCTCTCGGCGGATGGAGGGATCGCGATGGGCGGCGTACGCCCAGATGATCATGGATTGGCGGGACAGGATAGGGATCCACGGCGGGGACAGGACGCAGCGGGTTTCTTCCTCGCGCGCGGCGAGAGAGGAGTCGCGGCTGGATCGCCGCCGGAGGAGCCGGCGCGAGGAGAAGTATGCCACGATTCTCCTGAGCTGCTTGGAGCCAGGGGCATTGTCCACGGGCAAGTGGATGCACGAGAGGATCGTCAAGAGGGGCTTGGGCGACAGCGTCTTCTTGGGCAATCTTCTTATCAAGCTCTATGGGAAATGCGGGGCTGTGGAGGATGCAAGGTCGGTGTTTGATGCTCTGGGCGCGAACAGGAACGCTTTCTCTTCGATCTTGATGATCATCGCATATGCCCACAATGGGCATCTTGGCCGGGCTAGAGAAATCTTCTTCCAGATGCCCTGCCGGGATGTTGTGTCGTGGACTGGGATGATCGCGCTTCATTCCAACGAGGGCTGTTTCAAGGAGTCGCTGGATCTCTACAAGGGAATGCTGTGTGATGGGATGAAGCCTGTGAGGATTGGATTCGTCACAGCTCTGGACGCTTGCATCCACTTGAAGAGTCTCGCGGAGGGGCGAGCTTTGCACTCTCATATCGTGGAGTCGGGCCTCGAGAGCCACTGGAAAGTGAAGAACTCACTCCTTTGCATGTATGGTTTCTGCGGGAGTGTTTCGAGGGCCAGGAAAATCTTTTTGAGCTACTCGGAGAAGGACCAGATTGAGAGCAAGCTCACGAAGACGCTGCTGGTGGCTGTCTACGCTGCCAATGGCCGTCACAAAGATGCTCTCAAGATCTTCCAACGCTCGAAGGAAATGGTTTTCTTTCCCATCACTTACATACTCGTGTTGGAGGCTTGTGCCAGCGCTCGAAAGCTCGAGGTTGGACGACTCGTGCACTCGAGGATGCCAGAGATTTTTCAGGCTCATGGAAGGATCGGGGCTGGATTGGTGAACTTGTATGGGAGCTGTGGATGCTTGGAAAGCGCTCGAAAATGTTTCGACAAGATGATGGTTTCGAGCAAGGACGGTCTTGGAGTTCTTCCCTGGTCTGCGATCGTTGCTGCGTATGCCTCTAACGGGCATAGCTGTGAAGCCTTGAGGCTCTTCAGGACAATGCAGCTCGATGGTACAGCTCCGCATGCCGAGAGTTTCAGAGCGCTGGTGTTTGGGTGCTGTCGAGAAGGAAAACTGGATGATGCTCGTGAGCAGCTGATCATCATGGTCGAGAGCTATGGAATTACTCCGGACTATGCGAGCGTAATGGATCTCCTAGTTCGCTCTGGAGTAGTCGATGGATCAGGGAATTTTCGTGAAGGCCTTGACGATCCCAGGAGCCAAGACCAGCAACGCAAAACCGAGGTGGTGTTAAGACCCAAGGTTGTGGAAGACGTCTACGGTGTTTTGCGTAAGAAGCTACTGCCTAAACACGTAGATCTGGCTACTTGGCTGGACACCGACGTTCCAAACATGCCATTCTCACTCGCGAGGCACCCGCTGGAAGTTGCACAGACGAGATCGGAGATAATGCCAATCCCAAAGCAGTTCCAGCAGCCTCGGCCATTCCAACCGGAGGAAGAAGAAAAGAAGCTCGAAATCGCTGCGAGGATGGAAGAAAGAAAGCGTCGGAGGGAGATCCTCAGGAGGAACCGACTCCGGAGGAAAGCCAGGATAAAGAGCGTGGTATAAGCTTTTTAGATCTGGAAGATCCATGGATAATTTGCAAGGAGGCTAGAGTTTCCGAGCAGCAAGAAGCAGGAGCAGCGGCCAGGCCACCAATCCGAGCCGAGAAGCTCGAGCAGCAGCGGATTTGATTGGTGTCTTGTCGGGTTGATCGTCGCTCTCGTCCGGAGTGGAAGACGAATCCTCGGCGGCACTGGGTGGCGACTTTGCGGGAGCTTTCACTGGCGGGGGTGACGGGACTACCGAGACAACAGGAGCGTTCTGGTCGGAGCCAAGAACACCGGTAGGGAGGAGAGGATTGCTCACCTCGACAATGCTGAGGTTGTAGGCGATGAGCTTGACGCTCTTGGTGATGGTGGCGTTGGAACCCCCGGCGGCGACGATCTGGAGAGATCCCTTGCGAGTGGTGGTGAGGTTGGCGATTCCTTGGTCCGTGCTGGCGGCTCCGGCGGCCTGGTAGAGCGACGCTACTTGCTGGCTGCCGCGGATGCTCCTGGCGGTGTTGGGATTGGTGGGATCGATGAAGGTGAGGAGGATCATGGGGCGGACGAGCGCGGCCACCTTCTTGGGATCGGAAGAATCGGCGTGGGAGAGTGTGGAGCGGAGGGTGGCCATCTGGGAGTTCGTGAGGACGCAGACTGTGAGGGAGTTCATGGCGTTGATGGTGTCGGCGAGGCCGGATTTGGAGAGGACGGTGTTGAAGTCGGAGTACTTTGGATTGGTGGCCAGCTCCTCGGTGATGTTGAAGTTGCCGGATTCTCCCAGAGCTCCTCGAGCAGCAATGGCGATGGCAGCAATTGCGATGGAGAGGAGGATTGGGATCCTCATTGCTTACCTTGGCAGCAGCTAATTGGAATGGATATTGGGAGCGCTTGCTCTTCTCTCTTCTCTAGAGCCACAGAGTGTTCTTCGGTATTTCTTTTTCCTTTTGGTTTCTTGCTGGATTGGTTTGTTGCTGGATTGACTGCTTCACTCCCTCCATTCCATGGATCAGATCTACCTCTTATTTACCCGCCACCAATGAATGCGCTGCGGAATCCAGCCAGCTTCTCCGTGGACAGACAGCGAATCAATAGTGAGGAAATTTAAGAAAAAGATAACCTGCAAAGCGTTTTTTGAAGTTCAGACTACGGCAAGCATATGCCAGAGATAATAATTTGTTTGGGGACACACTTCGGGAATATATCATGCCAGATAACATTTGTGGCAGATATAATAAAATAGGTAAATGTTTTTTGTGATTTTAATTTGCTGCAGTGTTGGTTGAAATCCAAATGAACATGTTAGAAAATAAAAATAAAAATGTATAATTACTTGTTTAAATTGGTTTATAAATTATTTAAATTATAATTTGTTTAATTTTAAGTAAAAAAAAGTTCATTGAAACATGAGAATATATATATATATATATATAAATTTAGTTTTTCTAATTTAATTTTAAAAATATTTTATTATATTGCTAATTTTTAATATTATAAATATGAAATCAACCTAAAATATATAAATTTTTAAATAATTAAAATTATATTTTAGTGACGGAAAAAACTTTAAAACTAAGGTTTTCATCACAATTCCTTACTAATGCATCCACTAAACACCACCTATATTTTTCCCCAATCAAGCAGCTACTTTTAAACTTTAAGGGGTTGATTTTCAAACTTAGGAATATCTTTTTAAATTTAATTTTAGATATACTAAATATAGATTTACTACATTTTCATATTAAAAATATAAATTATTATAAATTATCTTTATATGTGTGAGTGCATGGAATATAGAAATGAAATACAAAAATGTGTATATCAATTAGCCCAAAAACCTTGGCTTATATACAAGCGCGAGTGGTCCACATTAAAAAAAATCAGATGGCTATCAAAATCCAACAATATTAAAATTAATATACGGTATTATAACCATACACTTAATCCACATATTATCCCCTTCTCTTAGAAAGATGAAAGGCAATTAAAGTTCTTTAATGAATATAGGATCTAAAAGAACATTAGGAGGAGGTATCAATGGAACTATAGGTGGTGTTAGTTATTCTTGATCCTTTTATATGAAGTGTTTCAGCTGTTACACATGCATAATTTCTGAAGGATCCGTTTGTTAAATGTCATGCCAAACTTAATAAATTTGCAGTCCAACTTGCCATAACATTTAATAGGGTCTCTTCCACTAAATAAGAATCCCCTTAAAAAAACCATATACCATAAGATTGAGAACACAAACTAACACCAAGTTATCCATTTTGTACTTTGTAGGTGGATGATGATAGAAGTTATAATGTCATTGTTATCCCACTTGTATGTGGCCCATGTGTTTAGCAAACTCTGCTCAAACCAATGGAAGAATGTTTGTCAAATATTAATCCCAAAACTTAGCATTGACAATTTGTCGCAATCGTGAAGGTAAACTCAATTTCGTTGGCAATATTAGATTATAATTATATATAAATTTATATGGTGAAGCACCAATAGAACTCTGCACCCTTATGATATATATATATCGAAAAGATGACAAATAATCATTCTAATATGAATGTTAAAAGTTCATGTCCTTCACGATTATCCTTTTGAAGGTCTGAACGAGCCATTCCACCAATTCATTTGACTGTAGATGATAAGTACTTGTGAATGTGTGGTATATCTCAACCGAGACGTTAAAACATGAAATGCCTCAACCATAAATGCAGGATCATTATTCAAAAGAATTTGCTCTAAATATGAATGCTAAAACACTATTTGATTAAGGAAGAAGTATTCAACAATAATTGTAAACACACTATCAAAATACTAACTTCCACCCAACAAGTCAAGTAGTCAGAAGCAATAATGACATACTTATTGCTAGCAGTTGATATTGGAAAAGGCCCTATCAAATCAAATGCCACCAAATCAAATAAATAGGAAATTGTAATTGATTCCAACTATCCTTTTACAACACAAGGGGGAATATTATAAGCTTGGGACCAAACACAACTATGCATATACCGAATAACATTATGTTGCATCTTCAATCAATAGAAAGATTTTCACAGTTTCTTGGTCATACAATAATGTCCTATATATCTGCCTAAAATAGGAGAATCATGGTAGACATAGAGAAAGTATAGAATAAAGATCAAAGGCACCACCAACTATAAATGATCATTAAAATCCATCCCCACAAAATAAAAAAGGTCGTTTTCAAAATGATATTTAGAATGTAAATTCCAAATGGCAAGTCATTAAAAAGTGATACAGAATTCTCAAACCCATCACAAAGCCTTCAGATCCACAACTCATGTGAGCCTCATCAAGAGAAGGTAAATTTTGTTCCACACTTTGTGGATACTAAATATCAAGTACAGCAACAATCAATGGCATAGGATTCTTATCCAAAAAATCCATATATATTGGAACAATAGACTCATTAAAAATATGAGATTCCCTTTCTTCCCATAACTAATCTAACACTTTACAACCATTATGGACGTGTTCCTCCTATGTCCCTTTCAAGTGGATCAAGACATCATCAATGAAGTCAACAGTTACCTCTAGCATATTGCAAAGAACTTCATCCATTATCTTCCTGAAATGTTACTAGAGCATTGTTTAAACCAAACAATATCACTAAAAATTTATACAAACCAAATGGTTTACAAAAAACAATCTTGGGAATATCTTTTTTGGCCATTGACATTGGCTAATACCCAGAAGTAAGATTTAACTTTATGAACCAATAACTTTTCCTTAGATTATTTAAAAGATCAATAGTATGAGGAAGAAGGTACACATCTGGGATTGTCATTTTATTTAATGGACAATAGTCAATGTAGAAATAAATACTTCTATCAAACTTTGTCATAAAATGAGGTTCACATACTTAAGGATTCCGCGACTTTTGTATAACACCCTTTTCCAACATCTTTTTAATGTTTGCATGTAAAATCTTGATCTCTTTTGGTGATAAATAACAAATAAAAACCTTGATTAGACAAACATCCTTAGTTGGAATAGGATGACTTGTTACAATCTTGGCCCTAGATAACAGGTCAAATTAAAAAAGATTAGCATACTCTTTTATAATTTGGTTAACCACTATAACACAAAAACTATTGGAGGGATCTAAAGAAGGAATAGAGGAACAAGACAAAAATATAGGAGAAAGTAATGAGGAGACCAAATTGATAGGGAAGTAGAGGTAAAAATAAAGGGATAAAGAGCAATAGAAATAAAAGGAATAGAAATAATATAAAGAAGTATGAGACAAAGGGGAGAAGCCTCAAATTTATACTTGGCATAATTGGACTACAACCAATACATATCACAAATGAGGTTAAAAGTTTGAATCAGTGCCACCCATAATGACTGTATCTCAAGCTTGAAATCACCCACACACACATTCCTACCTATTGTATTATCTTTTATTTAGTTCCACTTAGTTTTAGTTATTGACTACATAAGCAATGGAGTGTTAGCCATCCATCCATGGATTCCCAAATTTTCTTTCAATCCCCTTCCCCGGGTTAGATTGAACTTAAGGTTTAGTTACAATCCCACAGGCATAAGCAGCCAAGCACACCAAGCTACCAAGTTTTTAATACCCCGTGGTACAGCAAGACTTGATCATGAGACCTTGCTTTGGGTGCATATCTTACTTTGGGACCCCAGGGGAAGCATTATGGCCTAATGGCCCAGTGTGGGTACCTTTATTCCCCCATTTCCATCCTGAAGGGAAGGAGTAAGGACCAATGAGCCATATGGTACTCAAGTGGGGCACCATTCCATCTGAGTTGGGAGCACTATAGTTGGTTTCCCTTCCGAGAGTAGGAGCTCTTCTTACACACTTTCTCTGTTGGCCTCTTTAGCACCACTTGACCGAGTTCCACCCAAGGCCCTTAACCCCCTATTTTAACCTTAAGCTGGTTTGGAAACATTATTGAAGAGTTCCTTTAAACTAGTTTTTGGAAATCACTATCCCTACTATACATTTGGAACCTTATGCAATGCCCCCCACCCCCTCCCTCTCTTTGTGGAACGATCACTCTTTCACCCCATAACCTGTATTAGTATTCGGACTTGGTCTCAGAACTTGATCTTGAACTCGATTTTGGATCCGACCTCAGGCTCGGTCTTGGACTCGATCTTGGACTCGGTCTCAGACCCGATCTCAAATCTCAGACTTAGTCTTGAACTTGGTCTTGAACTCAATCTCAAACTTAGTCTCGAACTCAATCTCATCTAATGAATTCTTTATTATTTCGACCAATCGTGGTTTTAGGGATCCTTTAGACTATAACACCATGGAGAGTTGGTTCCCTAAAACCTTTTGTTATAAAAATGAAGTTGGAAAGTAAATACTAGATGAACTGGTGTCAAGATGATACTCCCAAAAGAAAAATGTGAAGATCATTGACTTATTTGCATAAGGACCCTCTGCTACTTGCATGTCTTCTCATTTCCCAAAAGCATTTTGGTGTCCAAACCTTCCATTGCAATAGCATCAATAGGACATTGTTGACACTAAGGTCTCCACTTAGGAAATGGAGATTGTTAATCCAGAAAATGTCGATAATGCCGATAAGTGTGACCTTCTTCATCACACATCCAATAGTAGATATCATAGCCACAACCACATCTTCACTTTTGTCCTTGAACTTGGGTAATAACAATATCAATTTATAAGCGATTAAATTTTTTATTCTACTTTAGTCACTTAACCACACTTCCGACTACTTGGAGGAGTCTCACTCACAACCTCCATAAATCCTATTTTGGACTTGGGGCTTGTTAGCCATGAGAATGGTATTTATGCCACTCAACCTTTGCACTTGGTCTAAGTGCTTCATATGTTCGATCCCATGACCGACATCCAAAAGTACCACCGATATATCAGCCTGTTACACTAAAGCCATGTTCATTTTCCTTTGCCATATTAGTGGTCCAACACCACCTGCATCACAATCCTGTCTCTCAAAGACTGGGCCATCCATCTATAAGTGGTTATCCCAGATCCACTCCTTAGCATCCTTAAAATGCTAGTAAACATAAAAAACAACTTTCCCCATTATCCCCATTTTAGTCCCCACCAAATCCCTTTCTATTCATGGCTATATTCACCCACACTACAAATTAAGTTAAGTCCCACTGGCCTGATCACTAAGTCCCACTGTACTTTGGGACTTCCTCACCATGGAACCATATCCTTGGTCACTACACCAAAACACTGCCCC